TACAGTGGTTCTCCCCGTGACAGGGTTATGGATAAATGAAAAGTGTTTTTTTGTTGTTGATTATTTTGCTCTCTTCTGCACTGAGTGATAAGTAGCTAACCAACGAAGCTTGTAATTACAATCTTACAGAAATGACTCTGATCTGTGTATAAATCTCACCATCCAATTACAAGATGTAATAATTTTGCACTCAAGTTGGTAATGAGGTCTAATACATGAGCATTTGATAATCCCTACTGGATGCAGCCTTGATCAGATGTTGGCTTTGTAATTAGAAAGGCAGAAAATCATTATTTCATGTTCAGGAAAGAAATGAGGTTGGTGGGAAGTTAATTTTCTCTCTGGTCTCTGAAGCATAGACACCAATTTAATGATTTAATCGCGATTGTTAGCTCTTTTGCAATCAATTTGCAATGATGGAATATAGGGAGTTAGTTTGCAAGTTTGTAAGATGGATGTTTACAGGCAGTTGCATGATTTCAGAGATATTTTGTATAATTTTACATGTCTAGTATATATGTCCTGAGGACAGTTCTTATACAGAACTGAAATGTGGACTTTTTAATGTAATTTTTGGGATACCAATACTAGGGTTTTTTTAACAAAGAAAACCCTGGAATGTTGGTGTTATGGTTGCCCCAGGCTAGCTGAGGGTTGGACCATAGAAAAGATGCTTCTAGCACTCACCAAGGACCATCATCATCGCACCAGACACCATAACCACCGCAGACCCCACAAACCACCGCAGCTTGGTTGGGATCTAGCCGTCTCTTCCCCACCCTGGACCTACGGCAAGGCTCCAGGTTCCAGTGGGTGAACCTCTCTTTCCCCAGAGAGTGAAGCAGGAACAAGCTCTTACAAGAGCTCAGTGAAGCTAAGGGAGTATGAAGAGCATAGCAATCCCTGTAGTGATTATAGCTGTCCCCTACAAACACGAGTCAAAGCTGCGAGTTGAGGGTCAAGTACAAGTGAAGGTTTAATGGTACAGCTGCTTCTTTTATACAGTATTTCCCCACAAGGTTACAGCCCACGTGGACCTTGTAGGGCAGAGGACATGAAATGCACAATCCAATAAAAACAGAGTTTTTACATTTGAACACTCCCAATTACTGTACACAAACCCACCCCTCTGCCTGTGATACGATTAACAAAGACAATGGACTAATTCAATTACCACAGGCAGAAAACACACGTGTTTACCCAAAACACAGAAACCACCACAAAATACCACATATCCCCACAAATCCCTGGATAGCCCTGATATGGGTGAACAACACATCCAAAAATCACTCAGATCAGAGCAGGGGTTCAAAAGTTTTCTGGAAGTCTCTTTTGACCAACGGCAAGCATGGCTTCCATGCCCAAAATAGTTCCACAGATTTAGGCTGTGCGGTTGGTCTATTTTCAATACTAATTTCCGTTTGAATGCACGAACGGGGGCTGTTCGTGCAACTACCCAATGTTAAAGTGGTGTTCGAATTGTCGAACGCCATTCGACTCCCGAAACGTCAAAGTTCCATAGAAGGTAAAGTTCAGCGGTGTTCGTGCTGTCACATATCCGATTTGAGTTTCATGAACTCGGCGGCAAAACACAGCTGACCGCATTCGGCTAAACAAAATGGCTGCCGCCACGTGTTCGACCATACGAATGGCGGCCACTTTGACTACTTCAGCACTTCGGCTGTTTCCGAAGTGCCATTTTGAAAGTGCAAATCCTTTCCAATAACATTTAAAGGGGCAGGAACAGTGTGTTAAAATCCAATAAGCCAAATCGAGTTTTTAAACGGCAATACATCCCAGTGGCAATAGTCACAGGGCAAGAGGCTGGGAGCAGGCCTCTCCAAAAGTCAGTGGCGAAGTGTAGTTCATCACAGTTGGCTTAATATGGCCATTTCTCATTCTAGTTTTATATATATACAAAAGCCGCATACATGATAAGTTAGATATATGAGCAAGTCGGTTGTGGTGTGCCGAAACCGACGTATCGGGTAGGCCTGTAATAAAAGAGGGCCTACCTGTAATAGTAATATGTATAAGGGGAGAGCTGGGAGGGATGAACCAGGCAGCATCAGCCCTGTGGTGTAGGGGGCCTGAGTTTAAATAGCCGGGTAACCCCTCCCACAACTTCAGGCCACGCCTTCCAATTTGTAGTCGGTGACAAAAGCCGGATACATGATAAGTTAGATATATGAGCAAGTCGGTTGTGGTGTGCCGAAACCGATGTATTGGGTAGGCCTGTAATAAAAGAGGGCAAAAAGTTGAATAAGATACCTTATTACATATCTTTAAGTTGCAAGATTCGTGAAGGCTTGTCTTACTCAACTCTAGCTCTGGTTGTGGTATGTATCTAGTAATATACTGTGGATTTCCAGCGTCCTAATGTTTATGGTGTGAGCAGGGACATTTGTCTGGAAGCAGCTGATGCTCTCCTGATTCTGGAGGAATGTCCCGAAAAGGCATTGGGGTTGAGTCCCCCCCTAGCGGAGTGAGGGCGTTCTATCATGAGGATGTTATCTATGATAACGGGTGACTGCAGGACATTCACTAATATTGAGTGTTAGACAAACAGCTTGGGGTTACTCTTTGCTCTAAAAGTTACACATGTGGGAAAGTCATCCCTTCATAAAATGTTACTAACATGCCCTCGGGGTGGCTTAATAGGTAGAAGCTTGGAGGCATAGGAAATGTCTGTCTTGCCCACCCAAGCTCCAGTCAACCTCTTTGGCATAGTGCTGGGAGAATTCCTTAGAGGAAATCAATGAGTTGAGGCTATGGGTGGGTAATTAATATGGTCAACAAATACCTTCTTAAGCAACGTGATTGTGTTGCAGGGTCTATTAATGCGGACTGAAGGTTCTGACACTCGTGAATACTGGACAGGGGTGTGACCAGACCTGTGTGGAACTGGTGTGTGGAAACCTTGATGTAGAAGTCGACTGAGTGACAGAAAGGGTGTGCTTAGAGGTAAAACTACAGGTTGTCGATGCAAACCTTCTCTATGGTGAGGAGAAGTAGAGCCACTTACGTCATGAAAGTCTGTAGGCTAGGATGAAATCTGGGATAGTGAGTTTCTGATTGAGTGTGGGATTCTAGTGTATAGAACGATGTACAGATCATCGTAGTAGTAAGACTGTACTCTAAAACATCGTGGGAGGCAATCCAGTAAGGAGACTAAAATTAACCTTTCCAGATGTCTCTGTGTATGGTCGGGGACACAAAGTATGAGGGAGTAATAATGTAAACCGATGCGCTCGAGGCGGGATTTCAAAGGATAACATAACCATGAGAGGGATTTGGGAGTCCTGTGGCTCGGATGTGCGTCAGTGCCTGTGGAGATTCCAGTCTCTGTAGTCCATCGTTGATGTTAAGTATGGAGGCAAATAGAGTGGATATCAACTGTTTGACTTCATGTGATTTGGCCTCGTGGGCAGGGGCCACTGAAAGGTGTGGCAAGAAGGTTGGCCTCTCTGGGAATGTAAAAAAAGTCAATAGCTGGGTACCAGGCCGTCAATTGACATACCGGATGCGAGAATAGGACGGTTGATGGGTAGTAGCGAGGTGGGTAAACATACCTTGCTTCGGGTGGAATGTGGTTTCCTTGCCAGAGGAATGAGATATTGGAGAACCTAAAGGGAAATGATGGTGGGAGGCAAGTTGGAACTGGAATTGGGCTTGACTTACTGTGAACGAATAATCGGGGTGGTTGTTCTTGAGGCTGGTCTATGAATAGGTAACCTGAGGACATAGTTGTTAGAATCCTGACCCTGCGATGGTGGGTACAAGATTCATAGGACATAAATCAAATATCCTTATAAGTGAGTAGGGTGAGGATCCTAGGCCACTACCAGAGACCATGGGGAGTGTTTAACCAATACTGCGACAATAATGGGGGATAGAGTCATGAGTGACCGCTAATTGGTCCTGTGACTTCAGTAGCTAAAATAAATATAGGGGGATATGGAATACCAAGCTATGAGGGCAGTTTTGAGCTATCCTGGTAGGACTTAGAAATTTAGTGTCATGCCAGCATGGGAAGGGGGGTGAATGTATTGGGAATTAAGGATCCCCGGGCGTGGGCCTGTGTACAGGCTGGTGGAGGAATTGCGTGCCAGCATTAGCTGATGTAACATAGAACAGTTAGAGTGGAGTTGCTGTAGGTTTGGTGATACTATGCCTGAATAGCAAGGGTCGGTTAGGTTGCTTGAGTAGAATATAGCAACGATGAGTAAATAACCTTTAGTGCATAATACGTGATTATTTTGACGTAAAGTCAGAGGGAACACATGGTATGGTAAAGCCTGGTACACTAGGGTTTGTCCCAGGGAACATGACGATACAAATACTGAACATAGGAGTGTGGCGTGTTAGAAAAAAGGTTTAGCGAATAGGTGATTGTCCTCCAGATAAGTAATATACCTATCATGGGAGCAAGTATATAGATTGGCCAAAACACATGGTAACAAATGTGAACATGATGACTGCCTCAGAACAGTACCAAGTCCATGAGTGATAGAATAAGACATATGTGATATATGATGGTAATGCTATATACGTAGTGAATATTAAACGCTTACCAGAGCTGAATTAGTAATGGGAAACTGACAATATCCATTTACAATCGTAAATAATAACAAGAAACATAGCAAACATACCCGAACTACAGGGGGCATGTAAGGATAACTAGTAGCAGGCTAAATACTTTTAAAAAAGAACCTGGACATTTCATATATCAGGGAACAGTGTAAAACTAACAAATTGGTACTATGATTGTGGTGGCCGCTAGATGGCAGCATGTAACTGAGATAGACTGGAGACTAGTACGGTAGAAATTTGACAAAAAGAAACTAGCGAATAGGAATGGAACAAAGAGCAGGCAGGAGTAGGTGAACTGATTTAAGTCCTGAACGGGAAAAAGTCCAGAATGGACGTTATGTAAGAACATAAACGTGTGAACAATTGTGTGTTCATGGATTTGGCCCGTACAGGCAGACTCACGGTTCATGGATTTGACTGGTACAGGAAACAAACGACTTGACCCGGAAGCTTGCGGTGAGGTGAGAGGTCAGCTATGGGGCTGGAAAGTACCCAGACTTGGTGGACATGGAGGTTTGGTCCAGGAAAAGGCCCGGGAAGCCAGCACCGGCACCGGCGGGAACGAACGGCCAGTTCTGGATAGGAGGTGAGTAGTCTCTGACTGCGTGTGGCTGGAACAGCGTGATGGAAGTTGTTGGAGCTGGGAGAACTTGGTCCAATCAGTGTGGGAGTCTCTGACTGCATGTGGCTGGAACAACGTTATGGCAGTTGTTGGAGCAGGGAGAACTTGGTCCGATCGGCGTGGGAGTCTCTGACCGCATGTGGCTGGAACAGCAGGATGGGAGTTGTTGGAGCAGGGAAAAACTTGGTCAGATCGGCGTGAGAGCCACAGTAGGCCCAGACCAGCTTGTCTGGAGATTTAGGCAGTCTGTGTTGATGACCTTTGAACCGGAAGTAGTCATGAACCAGGCAGCATCAGCCCTGTGGTGTAGGGGGCCTGAGTTTAAATAGCCGGGTAACCCCTCCCACAACTTCAGGCTACGCCTTCCAATATATCCGAATATAATTTAACCTATGCAAACTGGAATATATACAAAAGGCAATCGGATAGGCCTGTAATAGAGGCATACAATAGGTGGCGTATCATGTTTCCAGCAGGTAATAGACGTATATAAGCAATACACGGAATGGAATAATCTGCAATAAGTAAAGAGAAACAAAATCCTAGTGCAATATTGTCTATATTGATAACTGTGGTATGTCAGTAATCACTTGGCTCAACCGAGTGAAGTGAAGTTAATTAACGTATAAAAAATATCAGAAATTATACAGTTTTAATACTTATCCAATCCCCGGCTATCTTACTGTGATGATGCTAAAACACGTGAGGAACGAGAGGGAAAAGTAGTTCATAATTTCTGCAGTTTTAATGTGGGTCTCTCTCTCTTCTCCTTCAATATGTGGTTAATGATTTTATCACCTGTAGTTCAAGTAATATTATTTATCTACTAAACTGCATTTGCAGATTACAGTACATAAGGCAAGCAAGAAAAAGGAAGCTTAAGGAACACTTGTATTGGGGAGAACCCAGTGACTAAAGAAGTATATAGTGAAAAAAAAGAAAATGAGTGCCCTTAAAATATAACTTTTAATAGTAATTCGAAAATCTAGTCTAAATATCTTAAATGGAAATTATATTCAAAAATGTAATGATAAACAAAGTATTTACATACACTGGTAAATGGTTTGTCAGTAGAAAAATGTGTAAGGAGATCCTGTGGACCACTAAAAGATAGAGTATAGGGCAGTGTGTAGAGATAACCTGTGGACCTCTAATAAACAGGATACAGTGCTAAAATGGATAATATTACAAGAGGTTTGCAAGCCTATCTAGTGGTATCGCAACGATCGTTTAGCAGTCCATAAAGGCTAGTGATTCTTGCTAGCCACAGAAAAATGTGTATATGGTGATACACTAAAGTAAAATGGTGCATATACAAAATAATTCACAAGAGAATAAATGATAGACTAAAGTATATTTATTTATTTATAAAATATTTTACCAGGAAAGATACATTGAGATTTCTCTAATTTTCAAGTATGTCCTGGGTCCACAAATCATTGCATTGTTACAATTAGGGTACAATAAAATACAAAAACAATATTAATACACAATAAATACAATATTTAACATAGAACAGGCAGGAAATATATAATCAACCATGACAGGTACATTCTGTTTTGAGGTATGTAGAGAGGGATCTCTTAAATGACTTTAGGCTTAGAGAAGATTTTAAATTGTGCGGGAGGTCGTTCCACAATTGCGGTGCTCTGTAGGAGAAGGAGGATCGAGCTGCTTTCTTTTTGTATTGAGGTAGACTAAGGTACTGGGTCGGAGGTTATAGGAAGTGGGAACAGCTGAGGAAAGCATTGTGTTCAGGTAGGGTGGGAGTTTCCCAGAAAAGCTCTTAAACACAAGGCTGTAAAGATGAAGGGTGCGTCTGGATTCCAGCGACAGCCAGTTTAGGCCCGGGGGAGATAGCGCAGCTAAGAGGACAAGGGCACATGTAGGAGTGTGGGGATAGATGCAGGGGAGTGACTTGGGAAGTGTGGGTGGGAGGGGTTAGGTTTAATGTGAGTTAGTGTGGGGGAGGTCTTACCTCAGTGCCACTTGGGATTCGGGCCAGCAAACAGCTTCCTTTCCTCCAGCTCCTGCTTGCCTGGGCCTGCAGATTTACACAGCTTGAGGTGATGGATATTGAGGTGATCCTGGCATCCCTCAGGGCTGCTGCTGCGCTGGATGGTGGCCGGCAACTAAGGGAGCAATTTACAAGTTTTATTGGAGGTATGGCTACCGGTGTGATCCTCCCCTCGCGGCCTGCCTTCCCCTGGAGCACCCCCTGCAGTCTCCCCTGCTGCCTCCCATGCGGCCCCTGCACCTGGGGGCCACACCAGCACTGGCAGGCATTCCCGCCCGCCTGCCAGGCTCTCTCCTGACAACACTCCTCGGGCCCAGTTGAGGAGCAGGAGCCTGGGCCCGAGGCACCGCCAGAGCTGAATGTATATTGTAGGGCTGTGCACATCCCGGGTGTTCGTAATGTTATAGCCGATGCTCTCTCTCATTCACAGTGGGACGTGTTTCGGGCAGTGGCTCCACAGGCCGAATTGGTGGGTGTCCAGTGTCCGACAGAGATGTGGTCCTTGTGTCTGACAGACTAATGGAGTTGGTCTGTGGGTCGGTCGCTGCGACCACATGGGACCACTATAACAAGATTTGGAGGGAATGGGACGGGTCCCACGGGGGCTTCTGGGACTCGTCCACCCGCCTGCAGGGTTTGGTTCTTCTCTTTAGGGATTGGGAGGCTGCGGGGTTGTCTCCCTCGGCCATTTCGGCGTGCTTGACGGGGCTCAGCTTCCTGTTTAAGTTGCGGGGTTGGGACGACGCTACCAAGGCATTCATTGTACGACAGGAGCTGAAGGGTTTGAGGCGGGGGAGGTTGTCCACGCGAGATTTGAGTCGTCCTGTCTCGGGCACGCTCCTAACTACTTTGTGTGAGGCGTTGCACGGGGTTTGCCATTCGGTTTTCGAGGTTCAGCTCTTTCGCCTGGCCTTTTCCTTGGCATTTTTTGGGGCAAGGCGGATTGGGGAGCTGGTGTGCCCCAGCCGGCAGCAAGTGGGGGGTGCTGTTCGGGGACGTTTCCTGCACCGCTGACTGGATCTCGTTCAGGATCTGCCGCTCTAAGACGGATGTCTGAGGGAGGGGTAAGTGGATCCGGTTGGGGGCTGGGCCGGGTTCCAGCATCTGTCCTGTTTGGTCTTTTGGGGAATATTGCACTTTGCACCCTTCTCCCGCGCTGCCACTCCTGGTGCACGGGGATGGTAGTTTCCTTTCCCATTTCCAGTTTATTAGAGTGTTTTGTTTGGGGCTGGAAGCTGTAGGATTGGATAGCAGGGAGTTCGAGGGCCATTCATTCCGTATTTGGACGGCTACCGAGGCCTCTAGGCTTGGCATGCCGGCGCAGGTGGTTCAGAGGATTGGTAGGTGGAACTCGAGAAGTTATGTTTCCTATGTTCGTCTGGTCGGTTTATTGACGTGATTTCTTTCTGCAGTTTCGGTTCCCCCCAGGATCTGGATCATCGGGCACTCTTATGTTTACTGGGCTGGGCAACGTGCGGCGGTTCGTCCTGGAGGCGAGAGGTTGGGTTTCACGCCTTCCAAAGCAGAGGTTCGATGGCTCGGGGCGAGGGGTATGAGGTGGTCCCGGCTCCTAACCGAGTTGGTGCAGTTGTCCCATCTCCTGGGGGCGCAGAGTGTCCTGGTGATCCACCTTGGGGGGGAATGATCTGGGTTCCGTGCCCATTTGGGATTTGATTTCGGCAGTGAAGAGGGACTTAGCCCACGTTTTGATTTTGTTTCCCAGCGTACACTTGGTGTGGTCTGAAGTCATTGCCCGTAACTATTGGCGTGGCGCCAGGAGCCAGAGTGCTATGGAGCGTTGCAGATGCAAGTTTTTCTATGTGCAGGCCAAAAGATAGATGTTAGCATCATACCCAAGTATTTGAAAGAGTGGACTGCTGTCAGTGTGCCATTTGAATTTGTTTTGATGGATAGGTGGGAATTGTGTAATTTGTGTAATTTAGGTACTGTTCCAAAGATCATTGTGACAGTATTTTCAGTGTTCAGGAAGAGAAAATAACAACAACAGTAGTGCAAGGCTGCGCCAAAATGTATCAATGTAGACTTATAGGAAATAAAAACGTATATAGATAGAGCATATGTATAAAAAATATATATAACCTAGGTATAATAGTCTATTAAAACACCATAAACAAGTGGGTAAAACAGAGTCCATCCAAGTGTTGAAATGTTCAGTAGAAATTAAATAATAAAATCATAAAACCGTCTCACTAGTATATGGATATGGTATGTGTACAATCCTCAGGAGTTGATCCGTCCGGGTTGTAGGTAATCCGTATATGTGAAGATAAAAACAGGACAAACTTCCAATGGTGAAATATTGTAGCTCCAAAGGTAAAATAAATAAAAAGGAGGATAGTACACTCACATTTGGAGCTAAGGCCAGCTCTGGGATGGAGGGCGCTTAGCGGTATAATCCCCGCTAAAGGATATACTGGAGAAGTGGGTCCGTCCATCCTACTTTGGTTCTGTCGTACTCCACAGAATATATGTAAAAACAGCAATAGTGCTCTCAGTTGGATAAGTAAATAAAATAGGTAAGATAAAATAAAATATACTCACAATGGTAGAGCAGAAAATACTGCTCTATTGACACAGCACTGTTGGAATTATTCCCACCTATGGATTGCTTGAAACAGGATACAGTTAAAATTAAAATGCCAGGAAAAAATAAAAAAAGTGTACATACAATAAAATAAGTATAAGGTTGGTCCTATAAAAAAGGAAATCAAATAGAACTTTTTATTGCTTTAAAATACACATTTTAAAACCATTTATGCGTTTCGCTACTAGGGCTTTTTCAAAATGGAATAAGATTAACAATCCTGGTTGGTAAGAGTATATATAGGTGCATAGAAAGTTAAAAATTGGCGACAAAAACGTCATCTACTTAATAGCCAATAGAAAAAGAGTCATACATTACATTTTAAATAAATGAAAATAAAAA